ATATCATCAAACACATCAAAACCAAATACAAAGAAAGAATCCTGAAAGCAGCAAGGGAAAAACAAAAAGTTACTTACATTGGACAACCAGTAAAAATAAGCTCTGATTTCTCAGCAGAAACCATGCAAGTGAGAAGGCAATGGGATGGTATATATAAGGAATGGCCAAAGTTCATCTCACCTACTTTGGTCATGTTGTCAGAAGGAATAATTCCCTGGAGAAGGGCATCATGTTTGGTAGAGGGTCAGTGAGGAAGGGGAAGGCCTCAATGAGATTGACTTGACACAGTGGCTACAATGATGGGCTCAAGCATAGCAAGGATGTCGAGAAAAGCGCAGGACCGGGCAGTGTTTCGTATTGTTGTACATAGGGTCACTGTGTCAGAGCTGACTCAGCGGCACCTAACAACAACATACACTACAATAATGAAATCAGCTTGGTACTAATAAAACAATACAAACCCAGATCAATGGAATAGAATTGAGAGTCCAGAAAATAAACACATTTCTACAGTCAAATGATGTTTGACAAAGATGTCAAGTCCATTTAATGGAGAAAGAAGAGTTATTTCAACAAATGGTGCTGGGAAAATTGAATTTCCACATGCAGAAAAATGAAACAGGGTACATGCCTCATGCTGTACACAAAAACAAACACAAAATGCATTAAGGATCTAAATGTGAAAACTAAAATCATAAAATTCTTAGAAGAACATGCAGGGTCAGTGCTGTCAGGCCTAGCGTTTAATAAAGGATTATCTAATATAATAGCAAAGACACTAATAGCAAAAGACAAATAAATGGGACCTCATAAAATTAAAAATTTTTGTTCATCCAAAGAATTTACCAAAAATTGAAAAGACATATTACTGACTGGAAGAATATCTCCAGAAACCATATACTTGATAAGAATCTGATAACTAAAAATTTCCTCAAAAAAAAAACAGAATCCAATAATTAAAATACATATAAAACTTTGGCAACTTAACAATAAAAAGACAAATAACCTAATAAATTGGGCAAAGGACTTGAATAGGTATTTCACACACACAAAAAAAAGAAAGAAATTCAAACAGCCACCAAACATTTAATGAAAAGACATTCATTGCATTAGCCATCAGAGAGATGAAAATCAAAACTACATTGAGATACTATTTCACTCTGACTGTTGTTGTTGTTGTTATGTGCCGTCAAGTCAGACCCGACTCATAGCGACCCCTCCTTGGGTTTCCAAGGCATTATCACTACAGAAGTAGATTGCCCCATCTTCCTTCCAAGGAGTGGCTGGTGGGTTTGAACCGCCAGCCTTCTGGTTAGCAGTCAAGTGTCTTAGACCAGGATGGACAAAATGCAAACAGAAAATAACAGATATTAACAAGGATATGGGGGTATCAGAAACTTTATCCATTGCTGTTAGGAATGCAAAATGGTACAGCCATTGTGGAAAATAGTGCAATACTTCCTCAAACAACTAAACATAGAACTACCAAATGACCCAACAATTCACTCTTGGATGATATACCCAAAAGACTTGAAAGCAGAGGCTCAAACAAAGGCTTGTACACCAGTGTTCATCACAGCACTATTCACAATAGCCAAAAGGTGGAAACAACCTAAATGCTGTATCAGATGAATGGATAAACAAAATGAGGTACATACACACAATGAAATACTACCCACCCAGTAAGAGAAACAAAGCTCTGAAGAAAGGGGAGTATTATTGTGTAGTTATTGTGTGCAATACTGAGTTTTAGTTTTTGGTGATGGAAAAATCACATTGATTAAGGATAGAGTTGTACAGCCAATTAATGTAATTGCTATCAATAAGTTGTATACCTGTAAAAAGTTGGATTGGCAAAAGTTATGTAATAAATCCATTTACAACAATGGGGGAAAAAAAAGAAGAAGAAGAGTAGTTATTGAGGCTGCTTATATGCAACCAAACATTTCATTAGGTTCCTTGGTTTGGAGGTTAAGGGTCATGGTTTCATGTGACAATCCAGTTAATTGGCCTAATAACATGTTGGTTTACCTGTCTGAAATGGACAACCTTACTCAACCATGACTGTTTGTTCCAATACAACCATATTTATTCCTCAAAGAAAAGCCCCCCTCATGAATATTCATCCTTTTAATCCTACCAAGTATACTTTAAACCCTAAAGAAAAATAACATTTATCTAAACCCTAAAGAAAAATAACATTTATCTTTTTATAAAATAAGCATTCAACTGAAATACGACTAACAGACAATTAATAAAACCCTAAGAAAAATAAAGTGTTACCATCATATCTAATGTGTTAAGGAATAGGTTGATTTATGGCAAAAAAACTTTAGATTTTTAGTTAAACAAGTCTCTTTTTCTTAAATTTGTCCAGACTATGTAAGTTACAAAGAAATAAAATGGCTATTTTAACTTACCATTCCACTGGAATTATTTATTCCATTCATATTAATTTTTGTTACAAATCTAACTGATGGAGGAGCTTCTGGATATTTAGATCCACATTCTACTTTCAGGCTATATATTCTGTTTTCATAATTTGTCTGGAAGGCAAGAAAAAAAGAAAAAAAGACAATCCAAATTACAATACCTAAAATAGTAATGTGCAAATGATAATAAAGAGGAAAAGTACAATATGAATACACTTGATATGAAGATGCTAATGATCAAGACTTCACTGTTCTATATTCATTTAAATTTATTTAACCTATTGGTAAGCATACTTAAAAGTAAGGATTTTGTACAATTAAAATAATTCTACTAAGTAATATCAATCTGATCAGAACTTCTTCTGGGAGGGGGAGTACAGCGTGTATAATAAGTGAGAAGAGGAAAGGAAAACACTTAAATTCATATTTTACATTTACATTCACATTATAGGAAGAGGGACTACTTGATTTGTGTCACTCCTGTAAAGATTTGATTTGTCTAGGACAGACTTCTTTATTCCTAGTATGCCAGTGTCAATTAATTAATAGTGCCCCTTACATTCTCAAAAGGGTCTGGCTGGACAATAAATATGTTTTCCCTACTTACATGACAATCAAAAACTTCTAGAAAAAGGGAAAACATCTATTATAACATCTTACAACAATACAACATAATTATTTCATGTCTCCTAATTACATTAGGAGCTCTGGGAGCATAGGGCCTAAGGCACTTGACTGCTAACCAGAAGGCTGGCAGTTCAAACTCACCAGCCACTCCTTGGAAGGAAAACTGGGCAATCTACTTGCATAGTGATACCACCTCGGAAACCCAAAGAGGGTTCGCTATGAATCGGGTCTGACTCAGCGGCACATAACAACAACAACAAATGTTACGTTACATTTATCTTATACTGCAATTTTTTTTATTTTCTATTTTAAATAGGATGTCTTAATCAAAGAGTTTAATTACCATCATCATATTAAAAAACAGCCATTTTAAAGGTATCAGATTTAACGTAACTAGATTATTTGCACTGTTGTGTGCCATCAAGTCAATTATGACTCATAGCAACCCTATGTAACAGAGTAAAATTGCTCCACAGGATTTCCTAGGCTATATTTTCAGAAGTGATCACCAGGTGTTTTCTCCCAGAGTTGTTGGTTGGCTTCAAACCATTGACCATTCAGTTAGCAGTCAAGTGCTTAACCACTGTGCCACCAGGGTTCCTTCAAAGCCCAAGCCAGGCAGGAGTCAAATCTTCTGATCCACTGTCAGAAACGTGCCACAGGCACCTGGTAGCTCAATGGTTAAGTGCTCAGCTGCTAATCTAAAGGATGGCAGATCAAACCCACCTGGTGGCTCCACAGGAAAAAACACCCGGCCATCTGCTCCTGTAAAGAGTACCAAGAAAACCCTATAGGACAGTTCTACTCTTTCACATGGGGTTACAATGAGTCAGAATTTACTTGATGGCATCTAACAACATATTTCTCAGGGTTTATTCCCACGCCTAAAGAGCGTGAGTGGTGCTGTGGTTAAAGCACTGGGCTGGTAACCGAAAAATGGTCGGTGGTTCAAACCCACCAGATGCTCTGTGGAAGGAAGATGAGGCAGTCTGCTTCCATTAAGATTTACAGCCTTGGAAATCCTATGGGGCAGTTATGCACTGTCCCATAGAGTCACTATGAGTCGGAATTGACTCAATGGCAGTGGGTGGTTATATTCATGCCTATAATTAACTCTTCTTTCTCCTTATGCTTTTGCTCATTTGGTTGCTTATCAACCCCTCCTTAGGTTTCCGAGGCGGTATCACTACAGCAGTAGATTCCCCAACCTTCCGTCCAAGGAGTGGCTGGTGGGTTTGAACCACCAGCCTTCTGGTTAGCAGTCAAGTGCCTTAGGCACTATGCTATCAGAGCTCCTAACATTAAAATAGGAAAGTGAAAGATAAACCAAAGTGACAAATTTAATACTTGCTGCTTCCTCTATAAAACCAAGGGGAATACATTCTAAAAATACAAATAAAGCATGAAGATACATATGTTAAGGGAAAAGGACAAATATTATATGATCTCTCTTACATAAAAAGACAAGAAAAGGCAAACTTATAGAGAACAAAGTTTATCTGTTGTTACCAGGGATAGAAGGGAGGGAAAGGGGGCAAAGGATTATTACTTTCGGAGTACTCAGTTTACAGTTTGATTTAATAGTAGGATTGTGTGGCTGTAATTTGTCAGTAAGTTATACACTTCTAAAATGTTGAAATGGCTAAAGTTGTGTGACAGATACAATACAAAAACGACAAAATTAAAAAAGTAGCTGCTGAGGCTGCTTATGTAAAACCAAACACTTCGTGGGATTTGATTCCTTGGTTTGGAGGTTTAGGGTCATGGTTTCATGGTGCATCCCAGTTAACTGGTATAATAACATGTATTAGAGCTTCTGTTCAATGTCCTAATTTACTGCATAGTGCTTGGGGTCATAAAAGCTTAGAAATGAGCCACAGAGACACAAAAAGTGGTCTTTATTCACCTGAAGCAACAAGAAGGGAAGTCAGTAATAAGAGGAAGAAATGGATGTGTGGCCAATTGCCTCCATAAACAACCACATTCTTTGCCAAGAGACTAGAACTGGAAGGTGCCTAGCTACCATTACTGAACAATTTGATCAAAGACTCTATAGAAGAATCTTAATCAAAAGAGGGGAAATGCAGAACAGAATTTCAAATTTTCATGGAATCCAGACTTCTGGAGACATGGAGAGTGGGTCAACCCTTGAAACTACTGCTCTTGAAGCCTTTAAACCTTAAATCAAAAATATACCCTAAAGTCTTCTTGAAACTAAGCAATAGTTTAGCTTAACTAGTTAAGAATGTCTGCCTTGAGCATCATGCTCTTTTAAGAACTATCTATATAAGATCAAAAGAGCTCTAGTGGCATAGTGAGTAAGGCATTTAGCTGCTAACCCCAAGGCCAGCAGTTCAAACCTACCAGCTGCTCCATGGGAGGAAGATGAGGCAACCCACTTCTATAAAGATTTACAGCCTTGGAAACTCAATGATGGTTTCTATGAGTTGGAATAGACTCAGTCGCAGTGGGTTTGGTTTGGTTTGGTTTGGTTTATATGGGATCAAACTGACAACAGCAACTCAAAAGATTAGACAGGAACATGAGGGAGGTAGTGAGTTTATGTTGATAGGTAAGAAAAACTCAGAAAAGGAGGATGAAAATATATGTACAATTGAAAGAATATAATCAACATCACTGAATTGCACATGCAGAAACTGCTAAATTGGTGTATATTTTGCTGTATATACTATGAACAAGAATAAAAACTAAAATAAATTATTTTAAAAAAAGGAAGATGATAGAAAAAGCTAATCACCTATCTATAGAATTTACTTATATAAAGTGATACACAGCGCTTTCCCATAAATAAGAGCTAACCCCATAATACCCCAGATTTGGGATATTAAACTACAGTAGAATTTAACATGTAAGCAATAGTTTTATACATATATACTAAATATGTTAATATCCTAAAAAGAGCTGAAAAAAATCATCCAGCTTTAATAACAACTATTGATAAAATGCCCAGTTCTTTGGATATATATAATAAGGGCTAAATCTGGCAGGTGTCAAGAATCATCTATTGTACATGTAAGAAACTGCTGAATTGCTATGTTTTGCTATGCATATTTTCACAAAAAAGAAAAAAAATTATCTAGTCTTTATAGTTCTCCAATCTGGATGCACATTAGAATCTCTAGAGAACTTGCACTAAATTCAATTGGGGGAAAAAAAATTCCGTTAGCCCCTCAGAAATCTTGTTGTTGTTATGTGCCGTTGAGTCAGACTCAACTCATAGTGACCCCTCCTTGAAGTTTCTGAGGCAGTATCACTATGGAAGTAGATTGCCCCATCCTCCTTCTGAGGAGTGACTGGCAGATTTAAACCACCAGCCTTTTGGTTAGCAGTCAAGTGCCTTAGGCACTACGCTACCAGAGCTCCTATAATGTTAAAAAACACTTAAAAGTACATGAAAATAATCAGAATTCTCATACTATGTTGGTGGAAATAGAAACCGGTATAACCACTTTGGAAATGATCTGGCATTTTCTTATAAATAAGCATACACCTACCCTATGATGTAGCATTTATACATATTTACCCAAGAGAAATGAGAACAAATGTCCACATAAGGACTTGGACAAGAATACTCAAAGTCGCTTTATTTTTAATAGGGGAAAAACGTCTAAATGTCTATTAACAGAAGAATTGATAAATACATTACGTATATTCAATAGCAGCACGCTACTCAGCAAAAACACACAAACAACTAATACATGTAACAACCCAGATGACCCTGAACACTGTGTTAAGTAAAAGCAGCAGGACCAGAAGTGTACATGATCCCACTGATAGGAAGTTCTGCAACAGGCAGAATGAATCTATCACGCAAGAAAAAATGGTTGGGAGTGGGATTGAGAATGAGAAAGGACACAGAACTGCGATGATGGGAATATTCTATATCCTGATGAGGGTATGGATAGCAAGGTAAATATACATTTGTCAAAACTAAGCATAACATTTATATGTTTCTGTAAAATGTTTTAAAGTTTAAAAAAAAAACACTTCCAAGCTAGCATACTAATCTAATTCAAACCATACTAACTTTTTGACATTTCAGATTACAAAAAACACTTCCAAGCTAGCATACTAATCTAATTCAAACCATACTAACTTTTTGACATTTCAGATTAATTTTATGACTCTAAACTTAAATTAATAGTGAAGTCCTTCTGCTTTCTAAAAAAGCAAGAGTAAAATAACATAGAAAGGAAAGTTGTAAAAAGGAACTAGTATTTACTAGTATCTGTTACAGTCAGGTATTTACAGTACCTCCATGTATACATGAGAAAACTTGGAAAAGTAATTAAACCTGTAATGCTAAAAAATTTAACACATAAACATATGCTGTAAATAAAATTACTAATCATATAAACCCAAATAAATACTGGAGTAAGATTTAAAAAAAAAAAAAAACAGGGAGCTTAATCTATATGCGTATATGTTAAATAAGTGAATGAATACCACATAATAGTTAAATGTTAAGGTAAAACTTTTCCTATTGTCCTGGCTGGATGCAGAGACCTAAAGCTGGGAACAAAATAACACTAAAATATCCTAACCTTCTAAAAGAGAAAGAGCTATTGGAGTCAGATGCTAACCCCTGTAGTTTTATTAATAGGCACCTAAGGGAGCACTGTAACTACTCAGGCCTCAGTAAAGAAAAGCTGGGGAACACTGGAGAGATGGATGCACAAGACAAAGAAACCTGGCCTACAAAAGAATGTTGGGCCTCTTCCCAGTACCCAAAGGAAGTGAAAGAGGCACTCCTCGACTCAGGCCCATGGAGACCATAAGACCCACTGGGAGAGAAGTTCAACATGGCAGGAGACAGAAACCTTGTTTATCTTCCTGGTGCCTCCCTAGCAGGAGAGGAAGGGGAGAAATCATTTAGAAGGACAGAAGAGGGCAGTGCCTGGTATGAGAGCATTCCATAGTCTAGCGGTACCAGGAAAAGTAGCCAGCCTGGGTAGTCCTCCTGGGGACCTCAATGGATGAAAAGTCAATCAGGGCTGCTCTTCCACATCCAGGAACTATGCTTTGGGACAGCCCTCAGACCCCTGAATAGCTCACATACCAGCCTGAAGACATTCTTAAGGTACAGTCCACTAGAGGCAATAACTGGAGAAAAACTAAAGAATTTCTAATTGATATCTCACTAACTTCAGACTGTTAAATCTTTTAACTATTCATTAAATCAGAATATTCCTAAATTATAAGCATTTATTACCAAACAGGTCATGACAATAATGTTCACAGGCTGTGAAAAGCAAGGCTTACATTACAAACACAAAATTAAATAACACATCAAGAATTCTAGCCATTAATATTTTATTTCCTTTCTGAAAAGTTTTGTGGAAAAAAATCAGAGTATGGTAGGGAAGGGGAAGTATTAGTTTAGTAGTATGCACAGGAATACCTGAAAATATCATAAAACACATGCTAATTCATTTAATTAACATGGCTAGCTATCTGAGCTATTTCCATTCTGTAATAATCAAGAGGAAATCTAAACACTGCCCAACAGCAAAACTGATGAAATGCTCTCATGATAAAGTAGCAACCAGTGTACAAAATCAAAGATTAAAAAAACACTTTGAATTTCATGTTCTTTTCAGCAAGTCAACAACTGTACACAGTACATCTTTAAGAATAACTGCAAGAAGCAGTTAAATCAAACTTTTAAGCAAGGAATGCAATGGGAAAAAAATACTTCCCACTCTAAAAAAATTGGAGTAAAAGAAAAACTTCATAAACTTGATAAAGGCCTAAGAATAAACTACAATTGGCAGCTGACAACACTAGAAAATATGTTAAGAATCAGACTTGTCCGTTTATTTTACAGATGAAAAAACTGAAGCCTAATGCATTTACATGGCATGTCAAATGTCAGAACACAAATAGAAATATGCAAGCACTACAAGTCAATTTAGAAATCCTCAGATACACACAAGTGGATTATGACATGTCACATCAAAAGAGACTATTTGCTCTTCCCAATACCCCCTTTATTTTCTCACCTATCTGGAATGCTCTCCATCCCATCACCACCTTCTGAAATCCTACAAGTCCATTGCAGCTTATTCCGAAGGCAACTTCCTCCATTGCTGAGCCTTCTTCAATTATTTCAACTAGAAGAAACATATTCTAAAGCCCCATAATAAACTTTCTCTGCCATATTTAAAATCTGTCATTTGTATATGTGAAAGACTGATAGCCACCATCCTACCAATCTTTTTCCCAATCCTCCAGATAAAATCAAGCATTATATACTGCACACAAGAAATGTCAATACAAATAGGTAAAACTTTTAAAAAAGGAATTATTTCAGCTAGACATTGTCATAATTATTTTAATATTAATATTATAAAATAAATTACTGTAAAAGTACATGAGATATTAATTAAAAATATATATATATAATTTATAGCACTGACCCTTGGTGGCCCAATAATCATGCCTGTCCACCTTGTAAGTGTCATATCTTCATCATCTTCAAGGCCCCAGCTAACCGTACCATCGCCTACTCCTTTTTGTCCTTCTTCAAGTTCTTCCAACAAGCGAAAATTACGAGGAACTTTAACTCCTATATAAAAGAATGTCATTGTAAATGTTATAAGAGCTACACATATTCAAATTCAGCTTTCTCCAAATTGAATTTTCAGAATCATTCCCCAAAATTCCATTTAAACAACATTCTGTTCCAGAAAATGCTGAGTCTAAAATAACCTCAAAATAAATGAACTAAAGAAAGCACTGAACCAAGAATTAACAGCACTATTGAACATGTATATAAATTCCTAATGAATCAAATTTATACTAACGTAGAAATCATTATAAAGTGAATACTGTCTCAAAGCTTTCTGTTCCTGCATCGAACAAACAAAATCAGAAAGTTCATTAAGAGCTAAATTCCATCAACATATACTCTATAATAATTTTTTTTAAAATAAAATTGTTTCATTTAAAAAAAATACAAAATGTTTCAGTAAAATGGTGGAATAGGCAGACAGAGATCCTCTTCAACAACGAAAATGGGAACCAATTAACACAGATACAGGAGATAATCCTGGAGCCCTGAGGTTTGAAGGGAAGGATACAGAAGTGGACTAAACTCCAACTAGTAGAACTTGGATGAAAACACCAAAACAGGAGACATACAGAGCTGTGGTCTTTCAGCAATCCTGACAACACAAACAGCTTAGATATCGCCCAGTGGTGTTGGGACCTAAGAATTAACGTAAAAATCAGCCCTGCTAGCCAGGGGCTCCACAGAGGACTGCACTGGTGGCTGGTGCATAAAAGGGGAAGCAGCCAAAAGGAAGGTGTACTGAGCTGTGGACTTTTGCCTGTCCAGAAGACACAGCCATTTTCAATGTTTACAAGCAGTTCAACCACTTTGGGTATTTAAAGTGACAGCATTCTCCCAGATTCCAGTGACTTAACCATAGGCTCGACTTGCCAGGAACCACAAGGACGTTCCACACAACAAAGACTTTAAAGGTGCAATATTCCCCTTGTTACTCTTATACTGCACATCCTCTTGGTGAACGCAGATGGGGCCATCCCTCACTCCCACCCATCTTCTGGACCAGCAGGAATTTCACCCCAGTCTGTGTGTTCCCACATAGCCTGAGTGCCCTGCCCTGCTGGATTTTTATTATTTTTTTTTCCTTTTCTTTTTTTTAGTTTGTTTATTTTTGACTGTTTTAAATTTATTATTATTATTATTTCTGACCTTTTTATTATGACTCTTTATTCTTCCCTTCCCAGGTTCTAGTTTTCAGCTTTTTCTCTCTTCCCTATTCCTATGTTCCCACGTTTTTCCTTCTCATGGTAAACCCTATTACTCATTTTTCTTTTTGCATTTTTTCCATTTTCCTCTTCATTATTCTCCTACTCTTTTTTCTCTTATTGCCCTCTCCCCAGATATTGTAGGGTTTTTTCCCTTTTCTTTACTTTTTCCCTCTTTGGTGATTGTTCCTGTGTGTTTATGCAGTGTGTTTTTTGTCCACTAGCTTTTACTTTTTTGATGGTATTTAGATTGTTTTTGTCTGCGTGTGAGACAGCAACTATGCATATGCGACGCAACCACACGCGCACCTTCTGCAGCTACTCTTACTGAGCAAGAGCCACCACTTCCTTCTCCACCACTGGTTAACCATAAACGACCACCAAGAAGAGCCTGATTCTCCATTACTGCTCTTCGTGAATAGTTAACAGAGAAGTAAATACAACAACAGTACAACATCTCGGAGACAACAGACCATCACAGTCCATACAAAGAAGCAAGATAAAGTGGTAGAAACAAGGGTGCAGGATACAGACCCAGAACACATCCTTTGGGAAGATGCAACAATGGAACTCCCTGATAAGGAATTCAAAAGAATTATATTTAGGTATCTTCAAAGGACTGAGAGACAGATCAAGGAAAACACTGAAAAAATTAAGGAAAACACACACAAAACCCTAGAAGAATTTTGGAAGAAAATACAAGAACAAAATGATAAAATAAATGAAAACTTAGAAATGATACAAAATCTACAGATAGAAATCCAGAAGATTAATATTAAATTGTCAGAAATACATAACATATTGAATGGGCAAAGGAGTAGAAGTGAATTAATGGAAGACAGAATTAATGAGATTGAAGACAAATACCTGAGTACTCCTTTGGAAAGGGATCAATCAGAAAAATCAAAACAAAATGAAGAAAACCTAAGGTTCATGTAAGTCAGCATCAAAAGGAAAACCTTTATGTAATAGGAATTCCAGAACAGAAAGAGAAAAAGAAAACCACTGAAAAAACTGTCCAAGATTTGTTGAAAAAGAACTTTCCAGGCATGATGAAAGATGAGAATATATCCATTCAGGAAGTCCAACAAATCCCAAACAGGATAGACCCCAAAAGAAAATCACCAAGACATATCATCATCAAACTCATCAAAATCAAAGTTAAATAAAGAATCCTGAGAGCAAAACAAGAAAAATGAAGAATTACCTACAATGGAAAAACCAATAAGAATAAGTTCTGATTCTCAGCAGAAACCATCCAAGTGAGAAGGCAATGGGAGAATATATACAAAACCTTGAAAGAGAAAAATTTCCAACCAAGAATTATATACCCAGCAAAATTGTCCCTCAAATACAATTATGAAATTCGAAGATTTGCAGATAAGCAAAAATTAAGGGAATTTGTTAAAACCAGACCAACCTTACAAGACTAGTCTTTTGAACAGAAAGGGAGTCCTTTGAACAGAAAACTAGTAATAACAAACAACAACTATTAATACACAAGATGACATAATCCAGAAACCAATACAGCTATGGACATATCCAAACTACATATGCCTACAAGATTATAAACAGGAAACCAGAGACATCTATTGGAAAATGAGGACAACTATACGCCAAAAAAAGGGGGAAAATAGTGCAGTTACAGAACTTCTAAATGGCAAGGAAGTTAAGAGAGTTGCAAGAGAGAATGGACTGTTCTAAACTCAGGAAGAAAATTATAAATCACAGGGTAACCTCAAAGAAAAATGATAAACTTTGACATCATAATAAAAAAGAGGACAAGTACAAATATTTAGCAAAGACTAAAACAACAGCAACAAAGGAAATGATAAGACAATTCATAAACATAATGAGCTCTGCACAAAAATTATATGGAACAAAGAAACCAGGAACACCATGAAAAGCACATAAGAAAATGACAGCAACCAATTCATACTTGTCGATAATTACACTGAATGTCAATGAATTAAATGCCCCACTAAGAGACAGAGAGTTGCAGACTGGATAAGAAAATATAATCCATCAATATGCTGTCTACAAAAAACACACCTTAGAGACAAAGACAAAAAAAGACTAAAAATCAAAGGTTGGAAAAAGATGTATCAAGCAAATGGGAACCAAAGAAGAGCAGAGTGGCAACAGTACTTTCTCATAAAATTAACTTTAAGACAAAACCACCACATGAGACAAGGAAGGACATTATATAATGATTAAAGGATCAGTTGAAGAAGAAGATATAATCATAATAAGTATCTTGGACCCAATAAAAGAGCCCCAAAATACATAAATCAGACTATAAAAGAGTTGAAAAGGCAAATAAATAGATGACTCCACAGTCATAGTGAGAGACTTTAATATACCACTTTTAATTAAAGATAGAACAAATGGAAAGAAACTCAACAAAGATGCAGAAGAGCTAAACAATACAATCCACCAACTTGGCCTTATACACATCTACAGAGCACTTCACTCAACAGCAGCACAGTATAGATTCTTTTCCAGTGCACATGTAACATTCTCTAGGATAGACCACATTATTAGGCCACAAAGCAAGCCTTTAAAAACACTGAAATACTGCAAAGCGTCTTCTCAGATCACAATGCTATCAAATTACAAATCAGCAATAAGAACAACAACGGAAAAAGATCAAACTTATGGAAACTGAACAGCACCCTCCTTAAGAAAGACTGGGTAAGAGAAGAAATAAAAGTTGAAATTGAAAAATTCCTTGAACCATACAAGAATGAAAACACAACATACCAAAATCTTTAGGACATAGCAAAAGCAGTGACCAGAGGCCAATTTATAGCAATAAATGCACACATCAAAAAAGAAGAAAGAGCCAAAATCAACACTTTAAACCAACATCTCTAACAATTAGAAAAACAACAGCAAGAAAAGCCTACAGTCACCAGAAGAAAGGAAATAATCAAGATTCGAGCAGAAATCAATGAAAGAGAAAACTGAAGGGCAAGAGAAAAAATATCAACAAGACTAGAAGTTGGTTTTTTGAAAAGATTCATAAAATTGACAAACTACTGGCAAATTTAACAAAGGAAAAGAGGGTGAGAATACAAATAAGATGAATAAGAAGCAAAATGGACATCATCATAACAGAACCAACTGAAATAAAAAGGACAGTATCAGGATGCTATGCAGAATTGTACTCCAACAAATTTGAAAATGTGGAAGAAATGGACAAATTTCTAGAAACACAGCACTTACCTAAACTAACACAGACTGAAGTGGAAAAGCTGAAGCGATCCATAACAAAAGAAGAAATTGAACAGGTCATTAAAAAATTACCAACAAAAAAAAGTTCTGGGCCAAACGGTTTCACCAGATAATTTTACCAAACATTAAGAGAAAAACTGACACCAATCCTACTCAAACTATTCCAAAACATAGAAAAGGATGGAGTCCTCCCAAATGCATTTTATGAAGCAAGCAAGCAACCTTGATACCAAAATCAGGCAAAGACATCACTCAAAAGGAAAACATGAATACAGATGCAAAACTCTTCAACAAAATCCTAGCCAACAGACTCCATGATATCAAGAAAATCATTCATTATCACCAAGCGGGGTTCATATCAGGTATGAAAGGATAGTTCAACATTAGAAAAACAATCAATGTCATCCACCACATAAATAAAACAAAGGAAAAGAACCACAGGGAAAAAAAAAAAATTAAAAAGAACCACAGGATCTTATCAGTTGATGCAGAAAAGGCCATTTGATAAAATCCAACACCCATTCCTGATTTAAAAAAAAAATAATAAACTCTCAG